GCTGGGCGCGGGCAGTGCGGGGACGCCGCGGTCCCGCAGCAGCACCCGCAGGTGTTTGGCGTGGCGCTGGTGCGTGCGGCGCAGGGCGGCCCCCTCGGGACCCCCCAAAACTCGCAGGGCCGCCAGGGCCCCCCCGACCACGGGGGGCGGCAGCGCCGTGGTGAAAATGAACCCGGGCCCGAAGGAGCGAACGGCGTCCACCAGAGCGGCGCCCCCCGCGATGTAGCCCCCCACGGCACCCACAGCCTTCCCTGCGGCACGGAGGGGACACCCCGCGGTCAGCGGGGACCCCCGAACCCCCACAGAGCCCCACAGAGCCCCCCGGACCTCCACAGACTCCTCCAGACCCCCGAAATTCCCACAGCCCCTCCGAACCTCCACAGACCCCCCCGACACCCACAGACGCCCCCCCAAACTCCCCCCTGCCCCAGCGCCCACCCGTGCTCTCCTGCCCCCCTCATTTTCGGGGTCCCTTTCCCCCAGTCTCGGGGTGTCCCCCCCCCAGTTTCGGGGTGTCCCCTTACCGAGGGTCCCCGACACCACGTCCACCTTGCCGGTGACGCCGTCGCGCTCGGCGATGCCGCCGCCCCGGGGCCCGTAGAGCCCCACGGCGTGAACCTCATCCACGAAGGTCAGAGCGCCGTGGGCGTGGGCGACATCGCAGAGCTCGGCCAGGGGGGCGATGGAGCCTGGGGAGGGGATTTGGGGGCGTTTTGGGGGGATTTGGGGAATTCTGGGGGCATTTTCGGCATTCTGGGGGGATTTTCGGGGGATTTGGGGTGAGCGGGTGAAACGGCAGCACCGGGAGGCGCGCTCGAGTTTGGGGGGAATTTGGGGGGGTTTGGGGGCATTGAAAGGGGCTCGGAGAGGTTTGGGGGGATTTTGGGGGGGTTCAATGGGGTTGAGGGAGATATTTGGGCATTTGAGAGGAAATTGGGCAGATTTGGGGGGATTTAGGGGGTATTAAGGGGGGACTGAGGGGATATGGGGAGGATTTGGGAGGGATCGGGAACATTTGGAGGAATTTAGGGGAGAACTGGGGAGAGCTGGGGGGGAATCGGGGCCATAATGGGGGATTTTGAGAGGGTTTGGGAGGTACAAGGGGATTTAGTGGGATTTGGGTGGAATCGGGGAGGATTTGGAGGGACCTTGGTAGGAACTGGGAGGGATTTGGGGGCGAACCGGGGGGAACTCCGGGGCTTTTGGGGTGTCCTGGGGGGTTTTGGGGTGCCCCGCACTGACCATCCATGGAGTGGACGGACTCGAAGGCGACGATTTTGGGGATGCCGGGGGGGCTGCGCCCCAAAAGCTCGTCCAGGTGCTGGGGGTCGTTGTGGCGGAAGATGTGTTTGGGGGCCCCGCTGCGCAGGATCCCCTGCACCATCGAGGCGTGGTTCCCCGCGTCCGAGAAGATGTGGCAGCCTGGGGCACCCCAAAACCTCTCAGCGCCCCCAAAAAAAACCCTCGAACCCTCCCCCCACCCATCGGCACCACAAAAACCCATCCCCAACCCCCCCGAGCCCTCAGCACTCCCAAAATCCCTCCCCAGATCCCCCGAACACGCTCAGGATTCTTGGGGTCCTGTGGGTTTTGGGGTCCAATGTTGGGGTTTTGGGGGGGCTCTCGAGAGGAGCAGATTTTTGGGGTTCCCGAGGGGAGTTTTTTTCTGTTCCCAAGAAGTTTGGGGGACTCCCACGAGGTTTTTTGGGTCCAGGACTTTCAGAGTTCCCCCATAATTTTTTTTCTTTTTGAGGTGTCACAAGGTTTTGTTGGGTCTGAGATTTTTGGGGCTTTGGTGAGGGGGCTCCCCGTGATTATTTTGGGCTGCCCGGTGGATTTTTGGGGTTACCAAGAGGATTTTTCGGGTTTTCACACTGAGTTTTGTAGAATTTCAAGACTTTCGTCTCCCCACCGGGGGGGTTTGGCAGGAATTTGAGAGGGGCGGGGGGAGATTTGGGGAAGGTTTTGGGGAATTTGGGAGCAGCTGCAAGGAATTTGGGAGGATTGCGGGGAATTTAAAGGGATTTGGAAGAGGCTTGGCAGGGATTTGGGGAGGATTTGGAGGGGTTGGGGTGGGTTTCTTTGGGGCTTCCACGGGATTCACGGACCCCGCTCGGGGTTTTTTTGCTCCCCGTGGATTTGAGGTGCTCTGGAGGATTTGGGGTGGGATTTTTTCTGTTTCCCACGGGATTCACGGACCCCGCTCGGGGTATTTTTTTTGCTCCCCGTGGATTTGAGGTGCTCTGGAGGATTTGGGGTGGGATTTTTTCTGTTTCCCACGGGATTCACGGACCCCGCTCGGGTTTCTGGGGACCCCGCGGGTTCGGGGGTACCTGGCAGCAGCCGGGCCAGCGTGGCGAGCGCGGTGTCGTTGGCGGCGAAGCAGGAGGAGAAGAGGCAGGCGCGGGGCTGTCGGTGCAGCCGGGCCAGCGCCCGCTCCAGCGCCCCGTGCAGCGGGGCCGTGCCCGCGATGTTCCGGGTGCCGCCCGCGCCGAGCCCGTGAGCCGCCAGCGCCGCCCTGGGGAACCGGACCGGGGGTTTGGGGGGTGAGAAAAGGTCTGGGGGGGAAACCCGGGGGGCTGAAGGGGATCTGGAGGGGATTTCGGGAGGATTTGGCGGGGTTTGGGAAGGACTTCGGGAGCTTGAAGGAGTTTTGGGGGGATTTGGGGGATTTGAGGGGGTTCGGAATGAATTTGGGAAGAGTCGGAGGAGATTTAGGGAGAATTTTGGTGGGAATTTGAGGGGGTTTGGGAAGGATTTTGGGTGGGTTAGCAAAGATTTCGGGGGAAATCCGGGGGCTTGAAGGGGATTTGGAGGAGATTTGGGGAGGATTTCGGGGCTTCGGGGAGGATTGTGGGGGATTTAAGGAGATTTCAGGGATTTGAAGGGATTTGGAGGAGGCTTGGCAGGGATTTGGGGAGGGAGTTTGGGGGGGATTTAGAGGGGTTGGGGAAGGTTTGGAAAGAATTTGGGGGATTTTAGGGGAGGATGCAGGAGAGCCAGAGAGGATTTAAGGGCATTGAGGGGGATTTGGGAGATTTTTTGGGGAGATTTAAGGGGATTTACGGGGATTTAAGGAAATTTAAGGCAATTTGGGGATAATTGAAGGGGATTTAGGGGAAATTGAAGGGGATTTCAGGGGGTTTGGGGTCCCCACCTGGCCGCCCGCAGCACCTCGGGGTGGCGGCTCATGCCCAGGTAATCGTTGGAGCACCAGAGCTGGATCAGGCGCGGGGGGGACCCCACAAAGGCGGTCGGGGGGTGCTGGGCCCGGCGCCCCACGGCCGTGAACTCTCGGTAGGTGTGGGAGCGGCGCAGCCCCGCCAGGCGCCCCCCAAAAACCGCCTCGTACGGGAAGGCGTCCTCTGGGGGGGGGCAAGGGGTCAGGGGGACACCCCGAAACACCCAAAGCTCCCCCGAGCGCCCCCCAAACCCTCTCGCTGCACCCCCAACCCCCCCTAAACTGACCTGGAGCCTCCCGAACCCCCAAATCCCCCCGGAGCCCCCCCAAAACCCCTCACCGGGCAGATTCTCCTCCAGCCGCCGCTCGGGGGGGTCCTCGAGGGCGTCCCCCAAATCCAGCAGCCAATCCAGGGGCTCTGGGGGGGGGGGTCAGAGGTCATTGGGGTGTCCCCAGAGCCGGGGGGGGGCGAGGGGGGGTCCCCAAATTCCTCACCCGGCTCGGGGGGTGTCACGTCCTCCTGCAGCTCGGGGGCCGCGCGCTGGACAAAGGGGGGCTCCTCCCCCTCCAGAGCGATGAAGGGGCAGTGGGACCCCTCGGGGGGGTCACCTGGGGGGGACAGGGCGGTTCAGCGCCCCCAAATCTCAAAAAAAACCCGCAACTCCCCAAGATTCCCTCAACCCCGCAAAAAACCTCAAAACCCCCCAAACCACCCCCAAACTCCCCCTCACCCACCCAAAACTCCCCCCAAACTCCCCCCAAAATCCCTCCAAAGCCCCAAAAGCTCCCCCATCCCTCCCCAAGCCCCCAAAATTCTCACAACCCCCCAAAACTCCTCAGCCCCCCCAAAGTTCCCTAAAACCCCTCCGAAACTCCTCGATCCCCCCAAAACCTCCCTAAAACTCCCCAAAGCCCCCCCTCACCCACCCCGGAACTCCCCTCGCAGCCCCAACCCCACCCCAAACTCCCCTAAGACCCCCCCAAAACTCCTGAACGCCCCGAAGCGCCCCCGAAGCGCGGGGGGGGGCTGTCGGGGTCCCCCCGCTTTTTGGGGTACCTGGGTGGGGGCGGGCGGGGGCCGTGGCCAGGGCTCGCAGCAGCCCCGGGTGCCGGGCCAGGACGGGGCAGCGCAGCAGGGCTGACATGGTGCTGGGGGGCACAGCCGGGGGCTCGGGGGGGCTCCGGAACCCCAAAACCCCCCCAAAATCTCCCTCGTCCTTCTCATCCCCCAAACAGCCCCCAAACCCCCCCGGAACTCCCTCAAATCCCCTCCCCATCGTTGCGAGGGGGCAAAAAAGGGCTCGGAGAGGGCTCTGAACCCCCAAAACACCCCCGGGATCCCCCAAAACTCCCCCGGTCGCTGTTATCGCTTTAACGCCCCCAAAACCCAGAAAATGCCCCCCGAAACTGCTTGGGAGGGGAAACCCGAGGGGTCGGGGGGGAGCTTGGGACCCCCAAACCCCCCCGGACCCCAAAAACTGCTGGGGGGGAGGGGGCAAGAAAGGGGGACCCCCCCACACCCCTCCCCGAGCCCCCCAAATTGTCCCCCCACCCCTCAGCCAGTGCCCTCCGCACCCTGAACCAATTCTTGAGGAGGTTTTGGGGTCTCTTCAGTGGGATCGGGGGGATTTTGGGGGGTCCCGGCACCAGCACCCCCCGAACCTGCCCCTCCCCCCCAGATCAGCCCCACCCAGAGGCCTCCGCCCCATTTTTGGGGCTTTTGGGGGGTGGGTGTGGCCCCTCCCCCCCTTTATCAGCTCGCGACACCCGGAGCCGGCCGGGTCACGTGACCCTGCAGAGGGAATTGGGGTGTCCCCACCCCTCCCCCCCCCGGCCCCCCCAAACCTCCCGGGACGGTTCGGGGCTGTTTGGGGAGTTCTGGGGGGGCTTTGGGGGGGTTCGGGGGGAATCGGGGGTGCAGGACCCCCCCAGTCCCTCTCCCTCCCACCGCCCCACGATGTTCGGGGGTCCGGGGCATTTTGGGGGGTTCTGAGGGGGTTTGGGGTGTTGGAAGCCCCCCAATTTCCCTTTAGTCTAATCCAGCCATTTTTGGAATGTTTGAGGGGGGTTTAGGGGTGCTGAGCCCCCCCCCCAACAGTTCTGGGGGTTCGAGCGGGAGTTTTGAGGGGGGCTGGAGCCCCCAAATTCTTAAGGCTTCTCAAGGGGAGGGTCCGGGAGCTCCCCCAGCCCCCCAAATTCTCCCCAAATGCGATCCAGGCACCTGCGAACCCCGCAGATGCCTCTTCCCCACACTTGGGGGTCTCCAGTCCCCCAAAATTCCCCCCAGAACCCAGCCCCGGTCCCCCCGGGGGGTCCCAGCCCCTCCGAGCCCCCCAAAACCCCTCGCGCCCCCCGCCCCCCTCACCTGTTGTCCCGCACTGAGGACGAACAACGAGCACTGAGCTCCCCCAAAAACCGGGGCCCCCCCAAACCCGATAATCTCGGGGGCGGGGCTTGCGGGGCTGAGGCTCCGCCCACGGCCCCGCCCACCACCCCAAATCTCCCCAAATTCCCTGAACGTCCCCAAAATTCTCCAACTCCTCAGAGCGCCCCAAACACCCCCAAATACACCCGAACCCCCCGAACCCCCCAAATACACCC